TCGATTCAATAACATGCCAGGCAAGTTCTAAACTAAGATACAATATAAGGAAAGAACAATGCCTCACCACTCATGGCACTAGTTCAAATAAGGTTGGATTAATGTTAAAAAAAAACTCAACTCATGCAAAGGTTCTATTTTAGCTTAAGTTGTAGTAATTAGAATCAAATACAAGAATACAAGGGCATACACATAGTTTAACCCGCATGGTTTCATACAATTTCGTTCTGAATTTAAGCTTTAGCATAATTACCATACCTACAACTCTATGACAGAAATTACCCTTAAGATGATCGTCATCAATCTATAATGGGGCAATGCAACTTAACGACGGCGACTGACGCAAACCTAAGAAGACAAAATGCATCTTTATTGTTTAATATGTACCCGATTGCAGCATCGTTAGTGTAAACAATAACCTTGGTACCTACTAAGTAAGATCTGAATTTGTCGAAGGAAAACAATAGCGCGAGCATTTTTTTCTTTGTCACTGTGTAGCTAGATTATGTTGCATCAATAGTCTTGCTGGCATAACAAATGAATTGAAATATCTTCTCCTTTCTCTGCCCCAGCATTGCACCCATAGTTGTATCTCTAGCATAACTCATAATATCAAAGGGTAGCTCCCAATTCGGAGCAATAAAGATCGGAGCTTCTATCAAATTCTTCTTTGGTAGCTCAAAAGCTTGAATGTATTTTTCATCAAATACAAATTTCACCTCATTCTCCAATAAACTACACATGGGTCTAGCAGTCATGGAGGATTCCTTGATGAATCTTCTATAGAAACCAACATGCCTGAGGAAGCTTCGGATGGCTGCATGGTTTGAGCACGAGTACCAGAGGATGACTAATTCACAAAATTTGGATGACCTTAATGAATGGCTAACTCCCCTCATTTCTGACACCACCCTGAGGTGGATTGAGGTCGGAGCTCCTATTTAATAGAAAGACTTGAATATAGCAGCTCGATATTGGTTTGGGTTCATCAGCAGCTCTATCATGCCATCACAAAATGAGTCCATCATTTGCCATCCAAAGGCGACTTATTTCAGATCAATCATAGCCAGGAAGAGGCTGAACTTGCGGCTGATTATAGAGCAGGGGAAGGACATGAGGGACAAATAGCGCCACATATCGCTGCGATCCCAGTACTCATTATAGAGTTATGCCTTAGAGCTGGGGTTCCTCATCATAAAAGAGATAAAAAGTTCACTCCCATATCCTCCACTAACATCCGGCGCATAGAGGCCGAGTACACATGGGACGATGCAGATAGGAGGAGAGCAGCTCCGGTGGATACATCCCCGGAGGTAGATATAGATTCTTTACCTACAGAGTTAGCCTTGCCTACTCTGGCCTCCGGGCCTTCAGGTACATCCACTTCCACTCCTTCCTAGCCCCCTAGAGCTACTGCTAGTGCAACTACCTCCAGGCCTCCGATCACTCAGGGCATGCTCCTCAATATGGGGAACCTAGCCCATTCTACAGATGTGTGGGCTTCCTAGTTAGAGGCCGAGTTTTCCTGGATGATTGAGAGGGTTATCACTGCTGCGTTGACACCTATCCAGGCTTCAATTGACTCTCTCACAATAAGAGTAGAGATTTGTGAAAGAGAACTGGGGGGTGACGACTGAGGTAACGACATTGAAAGTTGATGTGTCTGAACTTAGGAATGATGTGGACCATCTGAAGTGCACAGACTTCACTTTGCTATTGGGGACAGTAGAGATCCCCGATGATCAGAGTGCTGAGATGCTAACTTGTGTTAGGTACTTGTGGCTACCACCGAAGACGATATTATGGAGGATACTGCTGCTGAGTCTGAGGCCGAGACTAATGAGGAGCAACTTCAGGAGCGTGATGCAACTATCTATGAGGATGTTCCTAACTTAGAGGGAGCTATGTTCGACACCGCCCAACAGGCCTCTTTGAGAGATACGACTATTGTCGGTTCCAGTGGAGCTGCAACTGATACTACACCGGGCACTGATGCCCCGAAAGATAGGGTAATTGTGTAGATAAGATCACTTTTACCTCCCTCTCTATTGTTTTCATTAATTATCTTTGTTTCAGTTGCATTTGAGGACAACTGATTTTCTTTTGTTGGTGGGGTGAGGGATTTCCATACCTACCTCTTGTGATTATGTTTTATTTGTGAATATTGGGTTTGTGATTTATATATGTGTTTTGACCATGTCTTGATCTTGATTATTGTGGATATTTTAGTTTATGGCCCCTTGTTTCGAATGGAAATGCTTATGAGCCTATTTTTAAAAATTCTACCACCTCTATTGTGTGTTATTGTTGATGTTCTTGTGCAAATTTGAGTATTGGTTGTGATCAATACCGATGACTTGAACGGTGTTCTTAATTGAACGAAATAAATGTGCGGCTACGATTAGGCCAATGAAGTTGCATAGACAATGTGTGAACTTTTAGCATCTCGTTGTTACTACCCGATTATCGAATGAGTCTCTTGTGATGAATATTGCAAACTAGCTAGAAAGTGTGGAGTCTTGTTTGATATTGGTACCAATCCCTTGTTTGATGAGATTACTTAGAACATTGTTTGTGATGATACCTAGAATTTTCCCCGTTGGTCCGGTTGATTGAGTGACGCAAGCATTTGAAATGATCTTAGGCAACAATTTTGAAAAGTGAAAACAATTTGATCATATACCTTTTTTTTGGCCAGCCTTGTGAGATGATTGAACCTTGCATGGCACATTTTGAGCCTTAACCTTTTTCTAGGAAGAAACTTGAACAATTGTGACCTCTCTTTATTCCATTCACCTATAACTTTCATGAAGTGTCGTTTGTCTGAATGCCAACTTAGGCCAAAATCCTAAGTTAGGGGTGTGGTGAAAAGAGAAGGAAAGTCCAGAAGTGTGAAAAATCCTCCTTTGAGTAATGGTTTTTGAGAAGTGTGAACCCCTCCATATAAAAAAAGAAAAGAAAAGATAAAAGAAGCAAAGATAAAGAATGAAAAAGTTGTGAAAATTGCAAAAGAAACAGGGTATCCAATAGTTCTAATGAACTTGAATAATGAGGTGGATTGTGAGCAAACTTGAAATGATAAAGAAAAAGAGGAAAGTGATGTTCAAACCATAGTTCATGAAGGCAACAATCACTACGCCTAAAAGACCATACCTTGGCACTCGGCCTCGTTACAAGCCATGAAAAAACTCTTCTGATCTTGAGTGAGTTCAAGCGAATGTCGATTGGAAATAAGGGCAAACCTATGGTTGAAGTCATGCATGTGTTCATCTTTGTGAACGTGACAATTGTATGTGATTCCGAAATTTTAAAATTGGTGACAAATTATGTGTGAGTATGGAATCATATTTGTTGTAAGGACATTTCAGAACCTTTGTTGAACTTGAACCTGCATTTGAAGTAAGTATTGTGAAATTGAGTATCTTTGGTAATGGTGACTCACAATTTGAATCTTTTAGTGCACAACTAATCTCTGCATGAGTAGTTTGAGCCTTGTTGTGTACATTCATGATTGGGTCTTATGCAGCACTGTTTGAGGCATCCTTTTTGAACTTCTAATTTTAAGTGTCCTCAAATACATAATTTATGCTATAAACTGCTGTATATACCTTGATTTTCAGGTATACGGATTGAGGAGCAAAGCAAGGACACTAACAGGCAAAAAGGAATGAAACAAATTGAAGAAGTAAAGATACGCAATCCTGGTGATCCGCAAGGACACTTGGTGAATTGACGAGTATTCAATTAGACCGTCTAAAGTTCTACCGTGCCACCCCTGAAGGAAGAAACCAAGTCAGCGACAAAAATGGGCAGTCGGTGAGTCGCTGATCAATTCCGCGATAGCAAGAGTTATCGCCAAAAACTAAAGAACTTGAGGATGATGAAGGCCATGACAAAAAGGTGATACAAAAGAGCATTGGGTGGTTCACTGAGTGGTTCAGAGAACCCGACTTACCTCCCCTAATCGCTCTTCGTGGTCTATTTTTGCCAAGAATAAATTAGATTTTTAAACAGTTTACTAAAGAATCGAAAGCTAGGAAATTAAAGTCTAGAATAGTTTTCTATGAGTTTTCATAGTTTTTCATAAAGACTTGAAGGATTTTGGACATTCAATTTGGAGATTTCGGAAGTGGGTTTTGAATTTTCTACAAATTGAAGCATTGTAAAGACTAAATTACTCTTACCCAGTTGATGGATAAAAGATTTGGTAACCGTTTTTACTGTTTTATGATGTTTGGCTAAACCTCCAATTCTTGGGGTTTGATCAAATGATTATGGGTTGAATTACTTTATGGGTATTGTCAATTACTAGTTTAAATGATATATTGAAGTGGGTTTAATCATTAGTTTTGGGTTAACTTATGAATTGTAGTTGCAAATGCAATTCTAATTTTTTGTGTTTAACTTGCTCGAGAGAGAGGTTTGAGAACCAAAGCTTTTGATTAATGATTTGTATGTATTGGGTTCAGCTCGACAGAGTGAATCCTAAACCCAATCCTACACATCTAACTCGAAAGAGAAGATGTACTAAGAGTTTGGGCAGTTCTTAAGTGTTATTCTTGTTGATGTTCGACAGAAATCTCCTGAAGCGGAATAGTTGTTCGAGAGAAAGCTATTTCAATTGTAGTCTAGCCTACCCGCTGATATTTACCTATTCAGTAGTAGTTTCAATTACCCATATATCGAAATTTGCCTATAATCGATCGCATCCCGTGAATCCCTTTCTTTATTTTTGTTTCATCATTCTTTGTGACAACGTTGTAGTCGATAATTGCAAACCAAAACCCCCCATATGACATTTGTATCACCCCTTTTGATTTGTTTTCTTGTTTATTTCGACAAATTATATTCCTATAGCTGATTTGACCACATTTGTACTTCTTGATTGAATTTGAACACGTACTACTCCATGTGGGTTCTACCCTAACTCTTTCTTGTGTTTTATACTACTTAGCAATCGTTTGCACCTAGAATTAGATGATGTGTGCCTGAAACATTAATCAGTCATCCATGAACAGTTCCATAGAATCATCGAACATATCATGATAGATTGCCATCATGCATCTCTGAAATGTGGCTGGTGCATTAGAAAATCCAAATGTCATACGTTTTAACTCAGATGTGCCATATGGACAAGTAAATGTTATCTTCTCTTGATCCTCCGATGAAATAGAAATATAATCATAACCTGAGCATCCATCCAGAAAGCAATAATACTCTTGACCTACTAGCCTATCTAACATTTGATCGATGAAAGGCACCGGCTTATGATTTTTTCTATTGGGCTCATTCAGCTTGTGATCATCCATGCAGATACGCCATCCAGTTACTATTCTTATGGAGATCAATTCATTCATATCAATGGTCACTACAGTTATGCCTCATTTCATAGGCACACATTGCATAGGCTATCCGATATTGGATACACTATCCCTGCATCTAGCCACTTAATAACTTCCTTCCTTACCAAGTCCTTTATGATTTAATTTAACCGGCACTGGTGTTGTGCACTTGTCTTGTGGCCTTCCTCCATGTATAATTTGTGCATACACAATGCAGGACTGATCCTATGAATGTCAGTCATTTGCCATGCTAGAGTTGCCTTTCTCCTCTTCAAAATAGTCAGCGTCGCTTCAACTCGTAATTCGGACAAATCTAAAGACAGAATCACAGGTAAGGTCTTATCTTCCCCCAAAAATGCATACCTCAGGGGAGATGGTAATGTCTTCAGTTCAAGCTTGGGTGCTTCTTCAATTGAAGGATGGGGTGGAGTAACCAAGACCCAATTCAATAGATCTAGGTGATCTCTTGAGATTCCCAAACAAGACACCTCCATGAACTGCACCATTTCCCGTGCTTCAGCATAACCATAAATATCATCACCCAGCAACACACGCTCTAAAAGGTCCTTCTATGGAATGTAATAAAATTTTGTTGCAAGATCTATCACTATTGGGGTTGACAACTATTCATTCAAAGCAAACAGTTTCAAAGCTTTAAATGGATGAAATACTTTCACTTTATCATGTGCCCACATGGTAAGTTGACCAGCTGCCACATCTATCATAGCATGCCTAGTATCTAAGAAAGGTCTCCCAAGAATAAATGGCACCTCAGGATCCGGCTCGAAATTAAGCACAACGAAATCAATAGGGAATATCAATGACCCAACCTGGACCAAGACATCCCCCACAACACTTTCCGGTCTAGTTATCAAACGGTCTGCCAAATGTATGATAAAAGTGGTAGGCTTAGGACTACCCAACCTCAATTTCTTGTACAGTAATGTTGGCATCAAGTTTATACTTGTCCCTGGATCACACAATCCTCATGCATTAATGCTCTGCCCTATGGTGATCTAAACAGTAAATCTACACGCATCTTTAAGTTTGGTGGCCACCTTATTTTTAATCCTGGAGCTCCACTCACCAGTGAGTGCTTCAGTTTCATACTCCATCAGTCTTCCCTTATTTGCTACGATCTCCTTCACATACTTTTCATACCTAGGTATTCCCTGTAAAACATCAATAAGAGGCTGATTAATGTGAACTTAATTCAATATAGAATGAAACTTACCGGCGCATTCATTCCCATTTTAGTTTTTAAACTTTTGAGGAAATGACAGAGGTGGTTTCACTATTGGTTGTACTATTTCTTCTTGTGCATCATGCCCACTTTCATTGATCTTTCTCTCTGCAACTAAAGGTTCACTATTTTTCTTCTTTAGAGCCAATTCCTCCAATCGCAACCACTACGAGTACCCACCGTATTAACTTGCCTTGGATCAGGATAAATATTTTTAGGCAAACCTCCTTGAGGACGTAAGTTTTGGGTACTAGCAAATTGCCCAAATTGTATCTCTAGATTCTCAGTTGCTAACTTGTTATTTCTCACATTACTGACTAGTTGAGCCTGGTCGACCATGATCTTTTTCCACATCTCCTCAGTACTCATGCTACCTTGCAAGTTACTGTGAATATCCTTCTAACCTTGTTGTTGATAACCTTGAGTATTACCTTGAGGTGTATATTGGTTTTGACCTTGCGCCTTAGTCTAATTTCCTCCCTAAGAAAAATTTGGATGATTCTGCCAAATAGGATTGTAGGAGTCACCACAATTTTTGTGGCCTCCTCCTTGTTGTGCATTCCCTACATAGTTGAGAGAATACAGGTTCACTCCACATAACTCTGCAATGTGATCTCCACCCCCACATATCTCACACTGTGTTGGTGGCGGTTGCAACAAATTTACCTGAGCTTGTTGTTGTCCTAACGATAGATTGTTGAAGTAAGTATTCATCATAATTTGCATCACATCAATTTGTGCAGTTAAATTTGTAACTGCATCCACTTCAAACATCCAACAGTCTTTTGCACTACAAGTTTGGCTCCTCCTCCATTCAACTCGGGGTTACCTTGTGAAATTATGTTCAACAAAATGAACAATTCAGCATAAGTCTTCTCCAAAGCTTGTCCTTCTGCAGCATAATCAAGTAAAATTTTGGTATTTGGTTCCAACCCTTCAATGAATACGTGGACCAACACCTAATTATCTTGATGATGGTGTGGAAAACTTAACAACATTGATTTAAACCTGTCCCAAAACTAGTACAAGTATTCTCCTCCTTTTTGTCATAAATTCAGTGTATCACTCCTCAAATTAGTTGTTTACCTAAATGGGAAAAACCATATCAATAACCTCTCTGCAAGATTATCCCACGACGTTACCGAGTTCGATGGCTCAAAGTTAAGCCACCTTTTTTTCTTAAAAGAGAGAAGGGGAAGAGTATGAGTCTCACATGATCAGAATTAACTCTAGTTGGAGTGCTAATATCAATAATTTTGTGAAAATTCAGTTTGTGCACTTGTGGATCCTCATGCGATAACCCAACAAATTATTTGTTCAAGTGCAATAGTTGCATCATATTCGGCTTCAGTTCAAATATATGATGTTTGCGTAATCAAGACTCAACTTCCAATTCAAGTGTCTACGATTGTACAATAGTAAAGTAACCCAACCAAGGGTTGTTGTGCTTGAGAATTAATAGAAAAACAAAATTAAGTTCTAATTAGTCATAGCTAAAAACATTATCCAATGTAAACATGTTAAAACTAAGGGGTGACACAAGCATCAATTATCAATGGGGGTTTGTGACAAGTAAGCAAAAATAGCAAAAATTCAAAGAGTACTAATCAAGGAGAGAGAATTATTGAGATGTGATTGGAATACAAGTTAGACTAGACTATTGGGTACATGCTTTTTATCGTAAATCCGTTGAGTATTTGTGACTAGGCTAGACTATAGTGGGGTAAATTCTCTCTCTCGCAACTTACCCCGAATCAAAAGGGTTCCTCTCAGACACCCACTTGCCGCATGAAGAACAACGTACGCCTTAGCCCAGTCACTCTCTCGAGCTGAGTGTGTGGAAGAAGGACTAGGGTTCACTCTCTCGAGGTGAACATCATGTCGACCCACTTCCACCAGCCATCAATTTAGTAGTGTTAGTGTTACGACTTCTCTCTCGAGCAAGCCGAAAATACAGAGGTGAAATCGTATTTGGAACTACAATTTCATTAAGTTCCGCCACAACTACTAAACAAAATCACATTTACACAACAAATAAACCAACAAAAGCAAGAACCAATAGATAATCTAAGCTATATTCACAAAATCACACCCCGAGAATTGGGGTTTTATGTAGACATGTAAAACAGATAGAAATTTATACCAATATGAGTTTGCATTCAAATGGGTATAAAGATTTAAGTGTCAAAACAAGTAAAGAATGAAGAATCCACAAGACCCAAGTCCAAAATCTTGTAGTTGAAATCCTTTGAATCTTCAAGTTCTTCAAAACCCTCTCAAAACTTAGAACTCCAAATTCTATGCTAAAAAATTCTATATTAAAAATCTGATATTAAGCTACAACTCTCAACGAGTATTTATAGTTTTCAAAAATCTGTGTTGTAGCGGATCATTAGGCGTCGTTAGTCGAGATAGCCGATCAACTCGACGATCCGCCGATATTTCTTTGTCTCACCTTCAATTCGTTATCAATTCGTGATCTAAATCACTGTAACTTACGACGAGCTTGATCGGGGGTCACCAATTGATTCCGCGAATTGCCCTCTTCCTTGTTGCTTCACCCATCAGCACTTGCTTACGACCTTCATCAGCACCTTCGGCGACTAGGTCATCTGACTGGATCGATGACACGTCGAACGAAATTGCTACTCGCCGACAGTTCTTTCATTTTTCGCTCCAGCTTTCTGTAACTTTTGGCGTTTTGTTATCCTATTCAGCGTATTGTCGAATGATTTTGGCGATATTCAGGTTTTCATTCTCCTTACTCTAGGTGAGCCGATGGTCACATTGGCGTATCGCCAAACAGGTTAGGCGAGTATCAGGTTATCTTTTCCTCACTCCTTTAGCTGCTAGTTCCTTGTTGCATTAATAGTGTCCATGTTTTGCCTCTAACTTGAAATACCTGAAACTCAAGGTTGTTCATCAGTTATTGAGACAAATTATTCATTTGAGGACACTAATTCTATCAAAATATAGCCCTAAATGAGCCCAAGTTGAGGACTCATCAACACCACTAGCTTAAACTTTTGCTTGTCCTCAAGTAAAACTCAAGTTAAGCCGTTCAAACAGGGATGTCTCAAACAGTGCTACAGAAGACTCGATAATGAATGTACACAACAAGACTCAATTTACTCATGCAAGGATCAAATATGTACCCAAAGATTCATGTTGTGACACACCATTACCAAAGATTCTCAAGCTCGCAATACCTGCTTTAAATGCAAGTTCAAGCTCAACAAAAGTATTTGAATTCCCTCACACAAAGGATGATTCCATACTCACACACAATTGTTTAATCATTTAAAGTTCCAGAATCAAATGCAACACTCACTCTAAGAAACAAGAACACAATGCATTCTTTCACTCATAGGTTTGCCCGTATTTTCCAATCAACAATTGTTTTAGTTCACTCAAGATCACAAAGGTCTTTTCAAGGCTTGTAATAGGGCAGAGTGCAAATGTATGGTCATTTAGGCTTAGTAACTTTTATCCTCATGAGATGTGGTATTCTCAATACTTCTTTTCCTCTTCCTTCATCATTTTTGCTAGTGCTCATAAGTCATCCTATTATTCATTTTCCATGAATTGTTTTGAAACCCCATTTCTTTTGTACTTTATTCCACAACTTTTTTTTTCTTTCTCTTTTCTTAATTTATATATGGAAGGGTTCTATGTTTCTCAAAACCATGGGTAAGAGGGGACTTTCCTTGCACTTGTTGACTTACCCTTATCTTTTGACCACATCCCAACTTAGGCTTTTGGCCTAAGTTGG